AAAAAAATTTATTACCTAGCTTGTTACTCTATTAATCAGAGTATTTTAACTATTTTCTTATAAATTATTTTTTTTTTGAAAGATTAACCCAAATATATATATATTTTTTTTAAAAAAATAGCTATATAAATAATGGAAAATATTTCTTCATTTTTTTTTTAATTTTTTAACTAATATTTACTCCAACATAACGTTATAGGTGCTACCATATTATATTTTTGTGCGAGAAAAAATAAAAAATTAATGATACAAAATAATATAAAAATATATATGAGGAAAAAAATTGGTTTCATTTTAATTTATTGCTCATTTATTTATGGTGGGCCCAAATAAAAAATGTGACAAATATATATATATATATATATATATTTATTTTCTTTTAATCACATAAAAGAAACACAATACCACCCAAACCAATTTTACCGGCTCCATATTGGGTTCTAATCTGGCCCAGCCACGGATAAACATCTTTTCGTCCCGAATAGAACTAAAAGCTGCATTTTCAATGGAGAGGCAAAAGAACCACATGCACACCAGAAACACCCGCACGAGATTTAAGCTAGAAACCGGGTTGAGATGATGAACGCGAGGCTATTGGTATCCTTCCCATGATGATTATTGAAGTTGAGTGCACAAGAAGCCGGTGAATGCACAAGTTAGAGTGGTAAATTGGAAGGGAATCTGAGTTTGTTTCAACTGGAGAGCGACCTGGAAGGGAGAGGAAGAAAAAAGTGCGAGAGCTTCAGGTGGAATCAGAAGATATCGAGTAAAGAGAGGATAAGCTGGTGGGAAAGGATTGGTGGTTGGAGCACGACTTGTAGGATGGTTGGCAACTGCTTCAAGGAGCGGCTTGGATTGAGTGAAAAGGGGTTTAAAAGGGGGAGTAGGGACTTCTCAGAAAAAAAAATAATAATAAAAATAATACCAAAAGAAGATTAGGGATTTTGGGCTTCTTATGGATTTTGGGGTAACACAGTGAGTTGAGGGGTTGATTTTTGAAGGAAGGGGATAGGGAATTACAGTTTTTAAGTTAAGGTTTCGAATAAACATAGGCAGAGCTCTATTAGGGAAAAGGGACAGAGATTTTGGAACTCTGGAAGGAGGGAGTGTTCGGGTTTTGAAAGGGGGAGGATTACAGTCAGTTTACAGGGGAGGCTTTTCTTGTGTTTTGTGCTGAGTGGGGATCAGTTTAGTGAAGAAGAATACTGAAAAGCAGGTAGAAGGAAAGGAGCGGAAAACCCAAGAATCAAGTTGATTCAATGATTTTAGCCGAGAAGGTTTGTACGTACTGGTAATTGATTCGCAAAATCCCCGATTTGATTCATTTAATTAAGGAACGTCGACTTGAGATAAATTTGTGTAATGTGATGAAATTGTTCACATCTGATTCACAAGATTAATTTGAAGATGAGCATTTGTAGATATGCGTTTACTACATGATATAGTGTGGTATTTATTTAACATAACAATGACGGAAATCTTAATGGGTCATTCTACTTTATTTTGAAGTTAATTTGTGAGTCATGCTATGAGGATCATTTTTGGATAGACTTTGAGTTGCTGTGATATCACTTCGACATTGTTGTCAAGTATTCTTTTATCTTGGGGAGTAGCCTGTGGATCATTACGTAAATGAGGATACTATGATGTTTCATCATTTCGTAGACTGGGTAAATGAGTGGTTGCCATGTAGTTGGAAGAAGGATACTGATATGAGATAGATTGAGCAGTGATTATGAGGTTGCACATTCTTGATTCAAATGATTGAGTGAATGTTGTTCTTGCTTTAGCAATTTTGTGATTAGATACGGATTTTGCTTTTCTATTAAACTCCATGGAGTGTTTAATTAAGTTAACTCTGAGAAGAATGTTAGGAGTAAGCACTATTCTTGTCTGCTTTGTAATCAAGTTTCTATAGGTGTCTTCTGCAGTGTTTGGAATTAAATGCAGGCAAATCCTTTTCCATTGTCCTTTGCATATCTAATTTCTTCACTTTGCACTGCGTGAAATACTTTAGAATCATGGAAACAGATGGTTGTAAGTTATGCTGTTTTATGTTTGTGATTTTAAAGGTTTCTATTGTTTAGGATTATGGGATAGGAGAGGTAATCAGATGATTAATTTGGTCTTTGCATTGTGAGATAGGGCCGGGGCTGTGTTTTAGTCTATTTCTTTTGGGTATTAGTTTAAGAATTTTTTGCTTTTTTCATTTCATTTTGATGTGGGTTTTGTTGAACAATTTCATGAGAAGATTGATTAACAAGATAAAGAGATGGAACATCAAACAGCAAAGATAAAGAGAGTACTTTTATTTTACTTTTGATATTTTCCCATCCTCGATGCAAACACGTAATAACTTTATTTCATTTCACTTCTTTTCGCTCTTGTTGATAAATGGTTGTCACAAGCACTCTGAACACCATCGCTAGGACATAGCTATTGGCATGTTATAAAGGATTAAGATGATTAATATATATGAACAGGACGACTACCTCCCTCTTTCTTGTTCTATACACTTCATTCATGTACGTAAATTTTTATTTGCCTAGTTTTTTTATAATATTTTTGTCTGGTCCTGCCTCTATCAGGATTAATGATGGCTGCAAGTGTATATGAGTGATTTTGGTGTCACCCAAGTTGCAATAGGCATGCGTACATAACAAACGAAATCCACTTAATCTATGAATGTAAAAATGGGGAAGAAATCCAGAAAAAAGAAGCGAAAAATGGAAAAGTCTATGGTGGCACTAAAGAAACAAAAGATCTGGCACAGGAAAAAGGCTAGATTTGAATTGCTAGAAGGAGAAATTTCTTAGAAGTTTAAGTAGGTTCTACTTTTAAGTTTTATAAATTGAGTTTTTCTATTTAGAAACAGAAGATACATTTCAGCAAAAAAACTTAATGAAGAATTGCCGGTTTAGACACTCAAGGAAAGCTCATATGGTGATGGAGCTGGAACCCAAAGCTAAAAATTCTATTTTTTCTTCTACTCTATGAAACTAGGAAGCACCTAAGGACATAATCTCTCCAAAAGTTTGTTTATATCCTTTTTTATTTTATTTTTTTTAAAATAGCATATCATTTTTTAACTTAAAAGCTTGTTTTTAAAGAAAAGCATTTTGTAAAACTTATTGTGCCCACGAAGGGGTGTGCGTTGCCAATTTGTTAGCACGTGCCTCTCATAGTGCACTACATGCATAGATTTGCTTGACCTTCACATTGTCATAAGGGCTACTTTACAACTAAAAACAAATCTTGCATGAACATAAAAATGTATGAGATACTTGTTCCAAATGCTTGTTTTTAGCAACGAGTCTAGATTAGGTATGTTGCGAAAGATGATTTAGGTTGACGCTATGTCTAAAGAAACCAAAAAAAAAAAAAAAGTTAAAAAAACTTTAAGATGAAACAACTGAGAATAAAAATTAAATATGTAAAAAATAAAAAAATTTCGGTCTTAACCATTTGGATATTGTCTATTGGGTTGAAGTCCAACGCTGATCCACCCAAAACATACACAATAGAGGGAAACATGTCAAATGATATTTTTAAATAAAAAGTTAAATAACGCATGAGTTCTGAAGTGAAAACGAATAAAAATTTAAGAAAGTACCTAAATGTTATCTAAATTCTAAACAACGTGTAATGAGAAATAATAATTATTGTAGCTAACCCCAAAGCTGACATGTATATAATAATATGTGCAGAAATACAAAAAGATATAGATAGATAGATAAATAAATAATTTTTGCAACTAACTCTAAATAGACATACATATACTAATAGGTGCAAAAAAAAAAGAAGAAAGAATGATAGTTATATAAATATATTGGGGGCAAATGGAAAATAAAAAATGGAAGCCACAAAAGTGTAGTTCAAATTCAAACGCTTCGCACGAAAAGTAGGCAATGTTATTCCATTCAATAAATTCAAACCCTAAATGGGATATGTTTGTATTCAGATTCTTGTACTAGCCTTCAAATACAAACTCTGGCAGATTAAGGCTCAAAACTTGTTGTATCTACCTCTGAACTCGTAACAAGCTCTCATATGTTTGACCTTTAAAATGTATAATGGTAGTATTATTATGTCTGATTCTGCCAAAACTATTATTGGAGTAGTGTAAAGATGAGAATTGTCTGTTATGATGAGAGACTTTAAATACGATTATTAAATTGAAATAGAAATATATCTATAATCATACTATAACCGACTTGGGAGGAGAACACTCAGACCAATAACACCACTAACAATATACCGTGAATTGACATTCGCTCTAATCCCCAGGAATTAAGCCCAAAGACGCTTAAAAATTGCTTCCAAAACCTGCTCTAGGCCTAATGAGATTATAATTCTATCTTTTTGTCTAACTAATCTTCTTTATATTTATGTAG